GGGCAAAGCTTCTTTGGGGGTACATCTGTACAAGACACTTAATGCACAGTAGCGTGTCGGGCAAAAAGCATCTTAATATGCTACTGTGCAGTAGTATTAGGCTACTGTGCATTAAGCGTCACTAAAAAACCATGTGCTGGTGCTACTGCGCAGTAACTATAATTACTGTTCATTTATCTTAATACTTCATTAAGCAAGTACTAAACTAAATGCACAGTAACCACTGCACATAAATGATCATGTAGACGTGCTCTGCATGTTCTCCAGACCCTGGGGAAACATCTTATTATTTTCTAATTATTTTATATATTTACAACATTCTTGTTTTCTTGAAAGTTTATTATTTTCATATATGCTCATGATCTTGAGTAGGTTCAGTTGCTGTTGTTGATTCTGTTTGTAGCTTCTGACTTGTTTGACTAAGCTCAGGATGTCTGTAAAGAAAGTGTGGAGTATAAGAAATGGAACAGTTCTTCAACTTTCTATGAAATCACAGACTTCTATGTTGTTTTGTATATGTTTGTTTTCTACTGGGTACAGACCTCCCTGACTTCTTTTGTCAACAGTGGTATTTATTAGGTATCGTAAAAGGAAAGTCGCCTATACACAAGCACCGAGGCTGCTCCAATGTGCTGGAATTCCAGCGCGTTGGAGTGTACTTGATTAATTGAGTTAGCTGGAGTGTGGCAATTGCCGCACTCCAGCAGCTCTTGCATCGTGTGTATCGGTGTCCCCACGCTTAAAGATGGTGGGGGGGAGGGGAGGCACTTGAACTTAAGCTCACTGAATGAGCTTTAATTAGAGTGGCTTTGGAGCTGCTTTAATCAAAGTGCTGCTCTTCCCCCTCCCCCCACCCCAGAGCATGTGTAACAGTGTACAGAAAAACCATAATAGTCTAAATGAAAAAGCCTGAAAGACAGAAAGGTGATTGAAACAAGATTCAGTTTATAATTTTTTTCTGCAAATGGCTATAATTTAAAGTTTGTAGCAGTGTTTATTGCTGTTCTGGGAACTTCTTCACATCCTCCAATACTATTTATATTTTAAACAAGTTAAACTATTAGTATAGAAACCACAAATTAGTACAGAATATATTTTCTCTTCCTAGTTGAAAAGAGAGAGAGATTTAAAAGTTTTGCTTCCCGTTTTGTTTCTAGTTATGTCATTTTTTAGCTTATACCTAGGATGCTCTACACAATTCATGTAGGTGTAGGTTACAATACTTGGAGTTCCTGTCTTTTAGCCATTTAAGATGGGTCAACAGAAAAGTTTTTATCAACTGGGAATAAGATCAAGGCCTGCAATGTAATTTCACTATTCTACAAAAATTGTATACATTTCTGTATTTATTTATTTTTAAAAAAATTTCTGAGATGTGGTTTGTGTCCTTCTCATACATGGGAAGGATTATGACTTAATTGGTTAATTCTTTTTGCTCATGACTAGGATACATACAAAGTACACTAATATTCCAAACAGTAGCTGTAAATATTAATTTAAAATAGATATTGGCTCAGTTGTGAAGGCCTTTAGGTTTTTGTCACTAAATCACAGTGGTGGTAAAAGTTCTGTTCCTTTTACAGTATTTTACAGCTGCTTCATTCTCCTTGTTAATAAGAACACAGGCTGTTCTTTCACTTGAACACAGATCATATATATATGTATATTTTCCGTTTTCTGACCTTTACAAACAAGAACTGATAAGATAAGATGAGGGAAACTGAAGCAGGCAGTATAAATAGTTGAGGCCACAGAGAGAATTAGCGTTTGAGCTAGAAATAGACATGCATGTTTTTATAACTAAAATACAGTTTTTGTTTTAAAATCTGCTATTTAGCATTAAGCCTATAAGGGCACAGTCCTATCAGAATCGTTTATATCTGTAACACCATCTATTTTAGGATCAGGCTGTGCTCTGTTATGTCAAATTCTGGTTTATATCAGTACTTCTGCTGCACAGACTGCTTCTCTATCATGCTGCTTCACTGTGCATTTAGGTTGGGTGCCACACTTAAGAAAGATGTAAACAGATTAGCAAGAGTCTAGCAGAGAGTGACAAAAATTATCAGAGGGCTGGGAAACATGGTTTGTGAGGAAAGGCTGCAAGAACTGGCATTGTTCAGTTCGGAGAAGAGAAGACTGAGGGAGGACTTGATAGCAGTCTTCAAATATATGGATAGAAGATCTTCAAAGAGGATGGAGATAAATTATTCTCTGTGGCTGTTGGTGGCATGACTAGGAACAATGGCCTCAGGATGCAACAGAGGAAATTTAGGTTGGAGATTAGGAAGAAACTTTCTCACTGTGAGGGTGGTTGAGTATTGGAACAAGCCTAGAGAGGCTGTGGACATTTTCAAGAGTGGGTTTGACAGCCACGTCCTTGGGATGGGTTAGTCAGGAGCGGGCAGGAGGCTGGACTACATAGTTTTATAAGGTCCTTTCCAGTCCTGTGATCCCAAGCAGGAGCAGAATACTTATTTGAAAGAAGGTATGTTTTAACATTGCTTCAGCAGCACAGAAGTCTGCTTCCCGTGCATGTCTTCAAGGGAGAAGAAACAGTATGGAAGAGAAAAACCTGAGGGATAAGACAAAGAAGACTAGTGACAGGCACTACTCAAGTATTATTTATACATATTACAGCAGCGCTTTGATCTAATCAAATCAAGGTCACCAAAAACTTAGTCTTGGAACATTCAGTGATTAAGTTTTAGTATTTAAGAAACCATCTATGTAAAGGAACGTACTTACAATGTTTCAAACATGATGATGTCCATGTATCTCAGACGTTATCATGACAGGTTCTTGCCTTGAAGAAGCAGAATTAAATAAAGAAATTTTGTATTTTTAGGTAATTGAACACTGACTTACACTTAATTTTGTAAAGAAGGAAATGTCTTTTAAACTGAGTTTTGATGCAGTTATAATGCTTTGTAGTACATTAATTTTAGTTTTGTAGGTTAAAGTGTAAAATTCTAAAGGGGGCTAAATTGTTAATTCAGAAAAGAAAATTGCCATATTTTCTCATATACAACACACTCCAGAGTAAAACATGCATTTTGTTTGTGAAAAGCAGAATGAAGGAAAAAAAGTAGCTGAATAGCATCATCTAGGGAGCAAAGTTTTGCTCCCTTCTTGGGAATTGTGTTCAGTTACTTTTGCTTTCACCTGGCAGAATCTTAAGCTGCAGAAACTGTTGTTACCGTATTTTCTCGCTTTATAATATACACCCCAATTTCGAGCAGCTGATTTTTGGAAAAAAGGATCTGTGTGGTAAGTGAGAAAATATGGTAATAATTGATGGCAAACGTCATTGATAACTATTTAAAGGAAAACAGCATTTTATTGGCTATACTACTGTAAAGACAGTGTATATCTGGGTTACACAGGTTTTTAGGGAGGAAGCTGGAGGTTTTGACAATTGGATAGGAAGGCCTTTGAAAATTTTGGCAAAGCCAAGAGTTGGAGGGAAATGCAGATTAAGTGAAGTTCCTGCTGATTTTACAGTTTTAAGATGGGTAGCAATATTGACAAAATACTGCAGAATTTATATCCAGCTGAGCTGAAGATTAGAAGAAGGGTTTCTAACCATAAGAGTGAGGTTTTCGTAAAGCTTAGTAATAAGATTAGAAGGGACAAAACACTTAACTGTTTTTTAGATGGAATTTGGTTGGTTTACAAAAGGAATGGCATAAGGTGCTTGTCTGCAAGTAGTATATTTTACCGCATATTTCTCTGTTCTCAGTTTGCAGTTGAAGGTTTTCTTCAGTTTGGAGAACTAGAAGTGTATTTTTTTTTCTTACTATACAGAGCTTAGTTTTTGTAGGGAAGTTATGTAGTTCTATACTAAGGGATTCTACTGCAGTGGAACCAGATGAATCTAGTGCTTTGACATCAGTTCGAAACATCATTCATGAATAAGCATTTACATTGCATGGGAATGAAGTGAAGTGCATTATCTGAGGTGTTCACATTTATATTATTATTTATATTTTTATTTTTATTAGTAGGTAGAAGTAGAATATTTTATTTTGGTCTTTTGTAGTGGTGCCCAATCTTTCTGACCATGTGGGACAAAAAGATGCTGTGTGGTTGGGCTGCATGTCAGATACTAGCACATGCAGTTGGCATGTGTCTGGGATCCAGCACATGGTCCCAACCCCACTCAGCAGATTGGGCTACATGCTGGATGGGGCCTGAGGCCCTGCCTCAGTCTGGGCCCACTCTTCTGGCCGCACATGTTATTGGCCCTGGGGTGCTGGCTCTGCACATGCTGGATTGGGCCTGCTGCCCCAGCCCCATTTACACTGTATCAGGGCCACCACATTGACTTCAGCCTCAGGTACATAAGGTTTTGCCTGCTTCCCTGACTTGGCCAGCAGCTCTAGGCCCTGGCCTCATGCATACTGGATTGTGTTCACTGCCTTAACATTGGGCGCATTGGATTGGGTCTGCAGCCTCAGCTGCAACCCTGGGCATGCTGGATTGGGTCCACTGTCCCAGCCAGCCCCTGTGCTGGCCCATCCGGTGCTCAGGGCCATGTCATCTGGCTCATGGGCTTGGAAATACAGCAGTTGTAAAGTTGTTTTTCTGTTTATATAACCAGTCTCTTGAGCCTTGGTTGCATTTATATTTTGTAGCTAACTAATATATATTTTTAAATGATGTCTGTTTCTGCTCATCATTGTTCTACATACTTTTTGTGATTTTTATGATTTCAGCAGTAATTTAATCTCCAGACTCTCTCCACTGCCTTATTAAATGTGTACACAAAATACATGTTTTATTGAGTTTTGTTGTTTACAGAATAATTTTGCATATCTTGATTGTCAAATGACAGAAGTAGTTATAACCTAATATGAGCGTATGCAAATTTAATCTAATTTATTTGGGAATTTGAACGTTGTTTTCAAGACTCAGATTTCTTTATGTATTGCATGTCTAGGTAGGTAGATGTACTTGTACTTGGTATGCTACATTTTAATTTTTTTCTCTTTTTTCAGACAAGTATAAAGGAAGGACTACTATTGAAGCAAACCAGTTCTTTTCAGAGGTGGAAGAAACGCTATTTCAAACTTAGAGGTCGTACCCTTTACTATGCTAAGGACTCAAAGGTAAGAATCTATATTTCTATCAATTAATACTTTACGCTTGAAATTCCAGTGGGTTTTTAGGTTTGTCAAGCTTGTTATCAAATAATTTAAAATTTCATGTTAGTGGTCATTTTTAGTAAATAATTTAATGTTTTTCAAATAGTATGTTAAATTATCTTTAAAAAGAATACTGGTTATGTATCTGTTTTCTAGAAAGTTATATATTTTCTTTTGAATGTGGAAATTAATTAGACAAGTTATATTGATACACTGATCTTTCCTTTTTTCCACTGCAGGAAGATAAACCTATTTACATTAAAAAAAAATAAATAAAAAAATTGGAAGGACATTGTTCAAAGGCGAGCCCTTAAACTCCCCTAATTTAAAGCTCTTATAGCAGGGGCAAGCAAAATCCGGCCCGCAGGCCAAATCTGGCCCACCAGCTATTCTATCTGACCCATGGGGCCCCTAAAAAACGTAGGAAATTAATATTTATCTGCTCCTGGCAGCCTGTCAAAGATGACAGAAGCCAGGGACAGTAGGACCCAGGGAAAGCCTGCAGGACCCAGCAGCCAGGTCTTCCTGGCCCTGCCCCCCAGCCTTCCTCCTCCCCCCAGGAAATCTCTGCCTAGCAGAGCCTTCTGGCCTGGGCCCCTGGGACTGTTCTTGATTCCCTTCATCGGAGGGAAATTCAAATAAGAGTTGGGCGGAGGGTGGGCTGCAGGGATTCCCTCAGTCCTCAGGGCCAGGTTGGCTGCTGCTGAGTCCTGTGGTCCGGCCATGCAGCCGGGAGCTGTGTGACGCTGGACCAGTTGGCAGGCAGGCAGGGAAGCATTGAAGGGGATGGGGTGGCACCGAGTGGGTGCATGGAGTACAGCAACAACTGGGTGGAAGTACAGGGTCTGCTCCAGTGTCCCAGAGCCAGTGCGAGCAGGGCCCAGAGTGGGGCGAAATTTTGCCAAAACTCAGTAAGACGCCCCCCACCAGAAATAATTGCCCACCCCTGTCTTTTATAGTCTGATGGAGATTACCTTTGAACACACTTATACAACAATACTACATAAAGCTTGTCGGGAATTTTTTTATCAAAAGAGTTTTACAATAGGAAATTCAGTTTCTGCAAAATGGAAATTTAGAAAGTTAAAAATCTGTTTTTGCTTCAAGTTTTGTATGTCTGTTGGGAAAATCATAACAAAAGCTTTCACTTTCAGGTTAGTTTGACCTGAAAGGAACTATTTTGGTTTATTGAACTGAACCAGGATCAGCCAGCTCCATGTTGGGAGCCAGGATAGGAGGCAGAGATTCCCGGGCCCGGTGACCAGTGTAGATGATGACCAGGAGCAAATTCATAGAATCATAGAAGTAGGGTCAGAAGGGACCTTGTAGATCTTGAAGTCCGACCCCCTGCCTGGGCAGGAGAAAAAACTGGGCTCAAATGATCCCAGCTAG